GCATTCCATAAAAATGTTTTAATCTTTGATAATATGAACATATTAAATATTAAAATCAGTTATGCAAGTTGTTATAGACATGGCTGCGTAAATTAGTAAGATATCACCAATGGATAGAAAAACTGATTGAAAAGTGTGACTTTTTCTGGCTGATTGGCATTGTAGGAATTGAAACTGTAGCATTGTAAGTTGTTGAATTAATAAATTTAAAATATGAATTATGATTATAAAATATGAAATATGAATGATTATGAATTTTTTTCTTTTGCTAGATTCTTTTCCTTAATTGAGTTGATAGTGGTTTTAATTTTATTTTGAAACTGTGTTACTCTAATTTTTTGAAGTTTGTAAAATACAAATTCCTTTTGTAGACTTGACTTGAGCATCACACTTAAAGGTAGTCAGATTTCTATTAGCATATTTCACAAATCTAGCTATCACTTCTTATTTCCTTCATACCTAATGATCCATATTCATTTAAACTATCAACTTTTAGAGTATTAGTCAGAAAGGCTTTCTCCCATTGTACATACAAGTTAGACAGACTTAGAGAACTTGAATACATTGAGAATATTGCCACCAACATGGGTATCCCAGACAAATAGTTCAGCCAGCAGTTGATATGGAAATTCTCTTGCCCTATTCAAAAACAATTGCATCATACATTCCATGGGCATTGTAATACCCCTTTCAGGGTGGTTTCTCATGGAAGCACACTAAAAACCCATGTATAATGAAATTGCAAGAAGTGGCTTTCACTGGAACCTGTGGTATTGTTCATATTGAAATGAGAAATACACGAGGTATAATTTTCAAAAACACAAAATAAACTTTACAAGCGTGGGTCGCATCCTTAAGCTAATCTTAACCTACTTATGACTAAAGAAATATGATATATGTACAGATAGAGGAAGGAAGAACAACAGATCTAGGACAGGGGTACCCAATTGTCTTGAATGTTCCCTTTCCATATTGATCAGATCCAACTTTCTTTGTCTCAGTTAATGTTCTCTCTCTCTCTGAACTTTTCTGTGATTTTGGGATATTCTCCCTAAAAACGCCTCGAAGACACCTATGAAAATTGTCTGTGTGTTCCTAACTCAAACACCACTTACTCATGCTCTTGTCATCTGACAAAAATGACCAAGACTCCCTTCTCAACACATCTGGTCTTGTTGGTGTCTATCCAAAAAGTGCTTAGCTCACCCCGCTTTCCCTTCAGGGCCTTTCCTCCTCCTATTGTTCTTACTGCCCCATCCTACTGAGGAAGGGTTCCATCCAAATTTCTTGGAAAATGAAACAAAAGAAAAGCAAGAATAAAGGAAAGTGAAAGAATGAAAAATGATAAAATTCTATATACTATACAAATGATACGGCAAACATCCACAAACCCTTCTTTACAAAATTACCCCATGATGATGATAACAAACTTGGCACACTAACTGCATTGAGAGAGATAAAATCCCTCTTAGGGATGACAGATTTCAACAGGATCTGGAATTAGTTAAAATTAGCCTAGATGACATGGAGCTTATACATATCACCTATAACACTATGCAAATATGGAATCTGGAAGTCCCTGAAATTTTTAAATCAGCAAAGAGGGGGTAACTGCATTAATTATAAAGATGTCAAATCTGTCTCTTTAGTTTGGAAGTTATTTTATGATACCCCTTACTTTTCTTCCAAACAATGTAGTTCTTCCCTTCTTTTAAAATTCTTGAATATTAGTATATCCTCCCTCCTTTTTGTTATATATATCTTTCAGTTTATTTATTATATCTTCTATGATTATTTAGGTATTTTTATTCTTTTATGTCTTTACTTATTCTTTTTCTTTAGTATTATATATTAATAAATATTATTTAAATATTTAATTTAATCACATTCATTTTTGAAATGTTCCATTGTCAAATATACATTGAAAGAGACATTCTCCTCTTTAAATATACATGTTCTATTGGAGAATGTTCAATTTTTGAAGGTAAGTTTTAACAAAAATTCTCTGTTGTGTGCATTTAGCCTGAGGAATGTCTATCAAAGAGACCAAAAACATTTTGATTTGCTGGAAAAGAAAAGTGTTTGTGTGTGATTTGGATTGCTAAGCTGATTAGGGAAAAGAATTTAGCCAAAGAAAAACCCATAATCATCTACTTCTATCAAATTATAATGCAATAATTTAATTCTTGCACCACTGACAAACCAAAGACATATTTGGTCAGCTTTACAATCAGCTTTTCTACTTATTAGCAACATCACACTAATCTACATAACCTTATCTATAATTTTCAAAACAATTTACTTAATATGTTCATACTATTAAAACATTTTTATGGAATGCAATCTCAGTAACTACAATATAGTGATGCAAACAAACCAGAAACTGAGATGCATCAAGATAGCCATTGAGATTAAACAAATTAACACACTTAACTTATTTACCTTTTTCTTTCTGAGTTATCTAACATGAATGAGTAAATATAACTATATATTATTTAATTTGTGAATTTTTAATAATTCTTTAAATATTACATTTCAATAGCTAAATTTATCAATGTTGCTAACAACTGTAATAATTAAGATAGTTTATTAAGACAATTTTAGTAGATAATGAAACAAGCAAAAATATTGTGTGCATACACAATATTACCACTTAATACTTTGTCCTTATCCTTTTGATAATGAAACGTTCTTAATATATAAATTGCAAATTGCTTTGGATGCAATTTAGGACCAAGATTTAAACAAATTTTACTTAAATTTAATATGATTAAACAGTAATAACCATACAAACATTTTTTGGGTCAATTTAATCCCTCCTTTTATATCCAACCAGAGACAGATGGTATACAACACAAAGACAAAACATAAATCTTCTTTAAAATGACCGAGGAGGTAATATTAAAAAACATGTACAGGAACACACTCGACACCGACCTTTTTCTATAGGATCCAATGTCACTAAAAAGTAAACTTGTCACTAAAAAGTGTTTCACAATACAAAAAATTTTTCTTTGGTCATTACTGTTTAATAATGTTAATAATCCTGAGACAAATATATTTGAATTTAATAATTTAATTACAGTTAAGATAACAGATTATTTATAGTTATAGGTTCAGTAAAAAAATAAGTAAAAACTACAATTAAAACAACACTAACTTTACTGTGTATTTTCTAAATATTTAGTTTCTTTTGTAATTTTGAAAACTTTTATCTCAAATGTTATCTTAAATTGTACAGGTAAAATATCATATGCTACTAAATTAAATAAGCCTTAATCATGAATATTAATCAGATAAATTTGGAAATGACCCAACATTAAAATGAGGAAGAAAACTGTTATTAAAACAATAATAGTGTTCTTCATGTATTCTAATAAGTGATTTTAAATTTAATAAAACATAACAGAGACTAAAAATGTAAATTCGTCAGCCCTTCTTTACAAAAGATGATTTTAGTAGAATCAAAGAATCACTGGCACTCTTCCAATAAAAATAAAGAAATTATTATTATTATAATAACGTCCACTAATAGTAACTATTTTAGATATTAATTTTTACATTACATTTTAGGTTGTCTTTTCTAGATAAAATTTGATGATTTTGCAAAAAGTTAAATCTTGTGTGTGTTAAATTTATTTTACGAATTAAAAATATACAAACATTACAAATTAGTTTTAAAATAAATAATATTTGTAAAATATCTATTGACAGTCAGTCAATGCATAGTCAGTCAAGAGGTTATATATACAGATGTCCAATAAGTCTGGAATCATAGGAATTACATTGATATTTGTTTATTCTTTTACAGGTAAAGCACGATGCTAGGAAAGGAGAAACAAATTCAAGTAATTTTGAAGTTAGGGACCCACAGTTGGCATGAAATTGTTTGTTTAATAGGCTGCATCCAGAATTCTCAACACTCACACACAGAAGTCTGAATGTAGCCTATTACAGTAATTACTTGAACAACTTATTGCTGATGGTGGATCCCCACCACCAAAATATTATGAATTCATTCCTCCTTACTTGTAAAAGTATAAAAAAATGAACATATATCCTATGGTTCCAGACTTAGGACACATTCTATATAGAAAGACTAGTTATATTGAACTAAAGTAAATTTAAAATCCTAATAAAAATAGCACTTGTAATAAGGTATTTCTTATAAGCAAGTATAATTGTTACATTACATAAAATCATGATTAAGTGTTGTTTTATTGTAATGGGAATCAAATTTGTTGGAGGTGGCTGTACTTTATTCTACATTTAAGGCAATGCACAAAGTGCAAAAGAATGTTTTTCTATTAGTTATTTATGACTGCAGAATCAAGATCCATTTTATATAATTTTCATAGTTCCAAAAATATTGGTTTGTTTTTTTTAAATGGATATTACTTTAACAAATTTTTATATTTTTGTTTTATTTTATAATTATTTTACTTTATTATATTATTGTTTTATAATAATAATAATTTATTTTTGGTTTAATTTCTTAGATTAATTGCATGTAATATTGAATGTTTTTATAAGCAAGCCATATAAAAATAACTACAGCATACAAATGAATGTTTTTCTAATTTAACTTATGGCAGAAATCTTTTAATCCAGCAAACTTACAGCAACAGCACAACCATTTCTTTAATAACTACTCTCAGGTTCTAGATTGATTATATTTAAAATATTGTAAAATCTTATTCATTCCGCACATTTTGCTTTTCATTTTTGAATGTTTTTTAAACTTTTAATTTAATACTACTCATTTTAAATAAAATAATTAAAAAACAAGATTATGTAAAAAGCAAATTAATGCAATCAATGCTAACCTGCAAATCTTTTATATTTGAAAGCAATTGATTCTATTACAAGATTTGTTGTATATAATTATCTAAATATTTTTTAATGTTTGTAATTAAACACACTTTCATCTATTTAAATATGTGACAATGGAGACAAATTACTTCTAATATAAAAGGAATTTTAGATAAAATTAAGCCTACCTTTTGAAGTTTCTTGATTTAAGTCTTGATATTCTGAAAAAAATATCACATGATTTATAATTATTCTCAAATTACTTATATCTACAATTATAAGTCAAAAGACCTAAACAAATAGATTAGATTAGAAAAGTCAATTAATCAAGTTTTATTTTTTAATTGTGAGCTATTCCAACTTCAAAGTAAGAAATTGAGTAACTTCAGCAATAATAATAAATATATAAAATAATTTGAATAATTAATCCCTAATCAATTCTAGTATAAAAGCCAAAAGAAAATTTACTCAATATTATTGCTATTTTTTCAGGAGCAAATATAATAAGACTCCCTTCTTAACAAGTATAGTATCAAATCATAATTTATTTTATTATAAATATTATCTTTTAACATAAAAGAATATATTAATTCATTTTTAATAATAATTGTAGGATTCCAATTTTAACTGTAAAGCAGTCTCATTATATGTACTTAAATCTTATATATTAGGATGCTTTAATTACAGTCACTCTGTTCACCACTGTCTAGAGAAATATTTAACAGTCCAAATCTGGTATGGTAACATTTTGGGACTTGGAAGACATTTTCATAAAACTTGGTACTAAAACTCACCACTGTGACACTTTTGGCACTGCAAGCAACAAATGTTTTTAACTTATTTGTATAAGATACTCATGCTATATAGACATGTTAGCAATGCATGGAATACTGCTCAATGTGGTCCCCATTCTGAAGATGTAAAACCTAATACCCCATTTGCACTGAGCATTTTGATCTAGATTGTGACCGTGGTTGGTGACTATGCTGTGGTGCGACCTCTCTCAACCATTTCAATCACGATCGACTCAAGAGAAACTAGATCCAGTCATAAGAGAGATCCCACAATCCCACGCGTGCGAGAAAATACAAGATGGCTGTAGAACACGTGTCAGACTATCAACAGAGAAATATAAAAGACAACTGGAGAGATGATACCATCTGTCTATTATTAGATATATGGCAAGAAAAAGTATTTATTTCTAACCAAAACTTCCATTTTGTTTGTTGGTGTTCGTGACTTACTGTGTAGTTATGTCAGTTTTACCATCGTGTGTAATAGCCGGGCTCTTCTCAAGTGGACTGCTAGACATTTGTCTGGCAATAGTTACAATCCAGATTGTAGGTAAATCGAGATCAAAGTGAGTCATGGATTGTGTGCGAATGTAGTATAACAGCAGTGAATAGTGTGCTCGAGCAGATTTGGAAACAAAAGGAACTGAAACCCTAGCCATGATACATGAATGGGGTCAAAAGCATAAACTCCACTTTAACCCTGATAAAACCAGGGCAATGATGATGAATAAACCAGGCAACCCCAACCTTTACCGTCGCGTGCCCACCATTAAAATGGACAACAAGAGTAATAAGGTTGTGAAATCCATAAGGTACCTGGGTGTGCTACTGGACCACCGCTTGAGCTGGGACGAACACATCAAAGACATCTCTAAACGTACTGGTCAAATCTTCAATGCTTTTGCAAAGATTGCAAAGAGCAAATGGGGGTTAAAATCCGTTGCTCTCAGCCTTATCTACAACCAGATATATGTACCCATTGTCACTTATGCTTGTGGTAGCTGGGAGTGGGCTGCACATAAAGTCCACCTCAAAAGAAAACTTGTTTCTTCCCAGCGCAGGACCCTTCTACTTATCTCAAAGGCCTACAGGATGACACCGAACATCAGCCTACAAGTCGTTACTCACAAGCTGCCTATTGTGGATATCAACCTCTACTACAACTTCTGGAGCCTTAAATGGGGTCATGATATCAGCACATTCAGCTGCAACATCTCTGCTAATCAGCTTGAAAGAAACAATCCTGTTGACACCATTCCTCCATATGTCCACAACTATCTAAACACCAATCCTCTGCAGTACAGCGATGTCCAAATATTTACAGATGGCTCAAAACTTGATGACAAGGTTGGCTGTGCCTTTGTGGCTTACCAGGACGACCATGAAATTCACAGTGAACAGTACAGGTTATCAGACCACTGTATTGCATTTCAGGCAGAGCTAACTGCTATTGGCAAGGCCACCAACTGGGTTTCGGCGCACTACAAACACGCAACTATAGTCATACTCTTGGACTGTCTTTCTGCTCTTTCCATCATTAACAGCAAGAAACAACATCCCATTGCAACTAACATCAGAAAGCACCTCAGCAACTCAACAAACCACCTCTACATTAATTGGACTCGTGGTCATCAGGGTACTGCTGGAAATGAGCGGGATGACCAACTGGCAAAGGCAGCAGCCGACAATGACTCCTTGGAAATAGCCTATGACAGGATTAGTCACTCTGCTATTAAAAACTTGCTTTTTGAAGATCTTCTTTACTCTTGGCAGTGCAACTGGAGTGACAACCACAATATCACTACTTTTAGTTACATTCCATACATTAAGGATTACTTCAAATTCAACTGGATACAGCTCAATACCCACTTATGTCAGTTCCTAACAAATCACGGAAAGTTCTCCAGTTACCTTCACAGATTTTGCCATCAAGGACACCCCATTGTGCGCCATTTGTGATGAAGTTGATGACGCTGACCATCACATTTTCACCTGTGTGTGCCTGGAAACTGAACGTTCGAACATCAAGTTAATAGCCTCCAAAAATAACATCCCCTGGCCATGCCACCACAAGGACTTTCTTCAGAACAAAGAACTGTATACAGCCTTCGATGCACTAGTGAAAAAACACGGTGTTATCTCAACTATCACCTCCAACCAGTAACCCTTCTCTGTACTTACTACCTGTAATATTTTGTATCACTTGCAGCCATTAGCTGCCCATGTCCTGTATATATGTACATATTTTTGTTTATATTATTTTTCCACGGTCATTTCATAATATTCATATATTGTACTACAGTAGAGCATTGATTATCTGACTCAATTGGGGACTGGGGTTGGTCGGATAATTGAAAAGTCAAATAACCGAAAAGTATGAAAAAATCCATTATTAGTGTAGTATATTATTATATCCCATGTAATTAATATATTAGTATAAGGACCTTGAATAAGTTCTCGCTGTTTTTTTGTGAAAATTAACACTTTATTTAAAAAAAGTCGTAATAAACACGTCACTGAAAGTATTGTCCATCACTAGCCACTACTTTCTCCCATTGTTCTGGCAGAATTTGAATTCCACGTCGGAAAAACTACACGTCTTTTGAGGCTATCCAAGAATCAACCCATTTTTTGGCATCTTCATAAGAACGAAAGTGCTGCTCAGCCAGGCCACGTGACATCAATCAGAACAAGTGATAATCGGAAGGGGCGATGTCTGGTAAATATGGCGGGTGGGGTAGGACTTCCCATTTAAGCGTTTCCAAGTACGTTTTCACCGGTTGTGCAACATGTGGCCAAGCATTGTCATGTTGCAAAATCACTTTGTCGTGTCTCTGCTCATATAGCGGCCGTTTTTCCTTCAATGCTTGGCTCAAACACATCAATTGTAGTCGATAGCGATCTCCCGTGATGGTTTCGTTTGGTTTGAGCAGCTCGTAATAAACTATACCTAGCTGATCCCACCAAATGCAGAGCAGAAGCTTCGAACCATGGATATTCGGCCTTGCTGACGATGTTGATGCATGACCGGGCTTACCCCACGATTTTCTACGCTTAGGGTTATCGTAGTGTATCCATTTTTCGTCACCTGTCACGATACGATGCAGAAAACCTTTCCTTTTCTGCCGTTGAAGCAGCTGTTCACATGTGAAAAGACGCCGTTCGACATCTCTCGGCTTCAACTCGTACGGCACCCAATGTCCTTGCTTTTGAATCATTCCTAATCCTTTTAAACGTTTCGAAACTGTTGTGTGATCAACTCCTAATGATTCTGCAAGTTCAGCTAGCGTCTGACATGAGTCTTCATGAAGTAATGCCTCTAATTCCTTGTCTTCAAACTTTTTTGGTGCACCAGATCGTTCTTTATCTTCAACATCAAAATCATTATTTTTGAAGCGTCTAAACCAATCTCTGCATGTTGTTTCCGACAGAGCATGGTCGCCGTAAGTCTCAACAAGAATTCTGTGTGCTTCAGCTGCAGATTTTTTTTGAATAAAATAGTGCAATAAAATTCCCCGCAAATACTGTTTTTTTGGCACGAAACTAGACATGTTTAACACAATGAAAAAATAAGTTGTTTACACTTCGGTGAAATGACGTATACTGAATTTCAAGGTCGCTTATTGTACTTCCTTACAGATGCGTCACCATCTAAAAATAAACACACATGGTTCTGGTAACACTATCTGTTGGAAAACAGCGAGAACTTATTCAAGGTCCTTATATATCGCTATTAACCTACTTTGCGTTGAATTTTCCTCCATGTTAAGCCTATCAAATTTTTTTTAAAAATAATAATCGTCACTATTGTATCGTTAAAAATTAGAAAATTAAGCCTCGTTTAAATACTGGCTCCCTTTCATGGTCGATCCATGTTGCCAGCTAAAACATGTAAAAATAATATTAAAGTACCCAAGACATAGCCAAATATTGTAGCGCCACATCACTAGCAGACATTTGAATTTGCCAACTAGAACGCAGTCGGTTAACCGAGTAGAGGTCGGATAATCGATGCTCTACTGTATTCACTATTTTTATTATGTAACCATTGTGTAAACATGCTAACTAACTTTGATTATTTACCTTTTCTATAGTTATTTGTAATTTAGTTTTTATTATACTCTCACTTCTTTTTTTTTATTGTATTTATCACTAGTTTTAATGATTATCGTTTTGTATTATTTTATTACATCTCATTGAACTGCTGTAATGCATTGCATAAATTCCCATACTTTGTAATTCACCTGTTATCTTGTTATGTAGCCTGGCTATGCCTCGCCGTACCGGGCATGTACTTCTATGGTGCCTTAATAAAAAATTGATTGATTGATTGATTGATTGTGCTCAGTGGCTAATTATAATTAATCCCATGATGCTTCTTGCATGTGGTGTGATACTGTGTTAAAGGCTGCCAAATTTCCAATATACTTTCAATAAAGCACATTTTTTAAGTGTCCCTAATCCAAAAATCACATGTCTTAATATCTGGAGAATGAGTTAACCAGATGGTAAGAAATGCACAATGAAAATGTTGTTAGTAAAATGTCACAGAAACTTTTGTACACAGCATCTGATTTGCAGAGCTGTTCCATTTTGCATAAAAGTGGTTGACACAAGGCACTGTTGCTACTACAGTTGGGTTGTGTCCAGTATTGAGCATCTCTTAGTATCTCTGGGCTATTATAGAGCATATGACAGGCCCGTCAGGACTAGCTTCTTTGAAGAAAGAATGTCCACGGACAAATATGGCTGTAAATGCACACTAGACTGTGCTTCACTTGTCTAACCCTATAATCTACTGGAAAATATAACAGTTTTCTGTGACCAAATGTTACAATTATGAGTGTTTACTGTTCCAATGAAGTGAAAATGTGTAAGGAACCAAGTCCGAGCATTATTTTTATTTACTTTTATTTTGCTTTTTATTATATTTTTGTTTGGGGCTTATGTTTTGTTAGGACGAAGGTTTCCTCACCATTCACCTTAGAAACTTAAAAATAGAAGAGAAACCGACTCACCAACGAGAGAAAAGCGCCGTAGAAAAAACTCGCGCTCCCGAGCGGAAAAAAGTAAGTCCACACCGAGAAAAGGGGGGAGACCCCACAAGCACATCTTAGGGACTCGCTAAACCTTAAAAAATAAAAACATCCCGAAAATTGTCAAAAAGAATAATGTAAAAGGTTAGCAAGTATTGTCGGAAAATAGGCTGCCAGACAAATAGAAAAAGTTTATTGTTAGAAAATAAGTATGTAAATGAGGGGAGTGATCGCATTCAGAATTGTGATGTCACCTCACAGTATAAAGTCCGAACGTCAAGTGAAGATGACCGAGGTGAGCTTCTGTTAGCAACGAGCTTGGTGAGCTTCGTAGCAGCAAACGAGAGAGAGGTGTCCGATAGAATAAAATAGTTCCAAGGCGATTTTGAAGTTATTTGATTTGTGGATCGAAGATTAGAGAAAGTCTTGAGAGTTGAGGAAAAGGGTTCCTAGTATATTGAGGTGACGATTAGGATCTTTAATTCATAAGAATTATTGTACATAAATTAAGTCCTCAATTTTGTCGAATTTCAAAGGGGAATAGAATTAAGTTAGAAAATAGATTGATTTGAGTTTTGTCGGTTTGATTCTTATTGACTTTCATTGAATAAATTGTTATTTGATTTTACTAAATATTGTATATAGTTAGTATTAGAATTATTTATTAAATATTTGATTTGTTATTGACAAACTTTGTCATTATTTTAATTCGGTGCACGCTTAAAGTCCAGGCCTGGCACACTAACGCAAATCCACGTAATGTACCCGTTAGGGAACGGCTATTTCCGGCACACAGTCGTGTCGATAATCGTTGGAAAAGTCGGAAAAATAATATAGTACTTTACAAATGTACCTCACTGTTACTCAGGATTTCCCATGGTAACAATATATCCATTTCCATTTTGGCAAGGAAAGTCAATGCAAAGGTTGGTTGGGTGTCCCCTTTGGCAATAAACAATTGCCAACAGAGATAGCCAGCTGACTTTTATATATTCTTATACACATAACAATGCATCACTATATTTCTCAGTACCTGCCATCCTGTGCAATAGGATACACTCAACTTCCCTTATACTACTCATTGACTGTTTTTAAACAGTTGTGGTAGTATCCGCAATGACTTATGAAGTGATATTGACTTTGTGTCCTTGACAGGTTCAACTCGTACATCCAGTTTCCTCAAATCGAGTAATCATTTTTCTGAGAGAATGTGGAGTTAATTGTTCTCAGCATAAATTGTTATAATATCAAAATTCCCAAAGTGTAGCCACAAAAAATTATTATTAATACCATAAGTTATAATTTTTTTATTACTTTTGTAGAATGCAAATCTCAATATTCATTATTCTGTTTATTGATTATGATGGAAAGTGTTGAAATTACAACAATACTATAACAAATCAACTTCCAAAATATTAGAACAGAAATAAAAAAGCAAATACTATAAATAATTAAACAGCTTAACAAATTTTATTTATAATTATATCTCACAACACAGAAATGTATCATCTCTCTTTATCAAGTCCAAATAGACATGTTTAACACAATGAAAAAATAAGTTGTTTACACTTCGGTGAAATGACGTATACTGAATTTCAAGGTCGCTTATTGTACTTCCTTACAGATGCGTCACCATCTAAAAATAAACACACATGGTTCTGGTAACACTATCTGTTGGAAAACAGCGAGAACTTATTCAAGGTCCTTATATATCGCTATTAACCTACTTTGCGTTGAATTTTCCTCCATGTTAAGCCTATCAAATTTTTTTTAAAAATAATAATCGTCACTATTGTATCGTTAAAAATTAGAAAATTAAGCCTCGTTTAAATACTGGCTCCCTTTCATGGTCGATCCATGTTGCCAGCTAAAACATGTAAAAATAATATTAAAGTACCCAAGACATAGCCAAATATTGTAGCGCCACATCACTAGCAGACATTTGAATTTGCCAACTAGAACGCAGTCGGTTAACCGAGTAGAGGTCGGATAATCGATGCTCTACTGTATTCACTATTTTTATTATGTAACCATTGTGTAAACATGCTAACTAACTTTGATTATTNATATCATTAATGATTTTATTTTTTGTTATATTTACATTATCTGTAAATATTAATCACATTTTATCTATGTTTAGCTAGTCAATAGAAGTCATTTTTATCATATATTTTATCTTCATTTAGCAAAAATGTTTGCATTAAACAAACAGATCAATATTTGCAAAGTGAAATAAGTATGAAAATCTATTAATAATAACTAAAAATAGTGATGTAAATAGAATGCAATGATTTTAAAAATCCAATAAAAGACACTATTGACTTATCCTTAAATAATAAAATAAATAAACGTTGATAACATTTACAGATTTAAAAATAGTTACCATCCTCTTTTGTATCCATTTTATTGCTTTTATATGGTCTGTTTGTCCAAGGAATGCAATTCATTTCAGGATTTAATCGCTTCGATTTGCGCACAAATGACTTGAATTCACGTTCTAATTGAAGAATGTTACTTTGAATCTCAGAAATTTTCTGCTCGGAATAACACGTAACCTAAGCAAATAAAATATTTTATTTTTGTTATTTTAAATATCAAAAAAGACATTTGTTTTACAAATTTGATATTTATACATTTTGAAACATTTCTAAAAACTTAAAACATGATTGAGTCATTTTTTGTGCTATACTTTAGATGTAAATTAAAAATTTTAAACAAAATTTAAACAGACATAAATTTCAAATTTTAATTTTAACTACAGTACAGCATCAATTATCTGAAACAATTTGGAACTGGGTTTGTTCAGATAACTGATTTTTCGAATAACTGATCATTCACAAAAAAATATATTAAATACAAAACTGTACTGTATATAATTTGTATCACACATCTTACAAATACATACCTTACATAATGTAATACATTAAACTAGGTCTACAGTTCAGTTTGGCAGGGAGGGGAAGAGTGCTGCAATGCCACAGCCCTAGCAAAAATTTGAATTTGCCAACTGGAGCGCTTTTGGTTAACTGATGTTTCGATTGATCGGTATTTGGATAATTGATGCTCTACTGTATTACAATTTCACATTTCAAAATCTCAGAAGTCTCAAAAGATGACTACTATATTCATAATTGAACTCTTTCATACACTTTAAACAGATAAATCTTAGTTTATTCACTTTGTTGTTTACAACTTTAAAAATTTTAATTTTAAATTCTGAAAGACATTCATGAAAGACAATAACATTTTTTATTACAAAAAATTTCATGAATATTTCGTTTTAAGTAATCATCATCATCAAATAAGTTTCTCATTATCTTTGTAAATTTTTTTATATTAAACATATTTCATTATATTAAATTTTTTATATAAAGAATTTTAAATAATGTTTCATGAATACAGTTTAACCAATGATATAGTCAGACAGTTAATCTGGCTCAAACTTGACTAATTAATCACACAGCTATATTATAGTTTATGTATATGTTATATTTGCAAGTTCTAGCCTGATAGCCCAGGCTTGGTTTTCTATGTATAGTATTCAGCTTAAATATATATATACAAACAACTTTTACCGGTATTAATAACAACAAAAATATAGACGTTCTTTAATACTCAAAGTATATTCTATATTTTATACAAGTTGAAACATTAAAAATTTGATATGATTTTAACAAAACTTTCTCAATGGATTGATTGATTTGTGAATATGATGCATCAGTCTTTTAAAGCTATATGTAGGTCACAATTTCATCCTTTGTAAGTAAATCTGAGCTGCAATAGTATCAGCTATCAAGGGTGAGAATAAAGTTCCAATTCATTCATAATACCCATGATAAACTACAAGTTGGCTTCAAATTTGGATTGCCGTAACAGTAATTTATTATCAAGAAAAGAGTTGGCACAGTCATCTATCTGACAATTTTCTCAATAACAAATTTAAAATAGTTTTATTTCAATATGGCACTAATCATGTTCAAGTATTTGTAATCATATTTTAGTCAAAATACCAACTTCTTTGTATAGATTATATCTTACAAAGAATATAACAAATCAATAATTAAAATTATTTCATTGCACTTTTAAATTAATTACCAGTATTTAATTTGAAATTATCATCATTATAATTTTTAATAAATTGGCTAATTAAATTCCTATTTAAAGTTTTTTAAACACTATTTTAATTTTGTTTGAAAAATTTTTATAATAAAATTAACTTACTTCAGATTGCTTCAGGCTAAAATCTAAATCTCGCTTTATGCTTGGCAGCCATTCTTTAATCTCTTCAACAGAGTTTAAATTGTCCTATATTAAAAAAGTTTAACCAATATTAATTTTAATATATATCTTTATAAAAATAATACATTTCAATTATATCAACTGAAATAATTTTAAAATTTTATTAGATCTCATCTTTAAAATGAGACATTTCTAGGAATTTTTTATTTTATTTTTTAGAAAAACCGTGAAGCAGCACTTCCACTTCTTCCAATGATGGCATGCCACTGATATATATATAAATTCAAAATTATTTAATAATTTAAATTTCTCACTTTATATCTTAAAATTNCTCGGCAGCTAGTCCAGAAGTAGTTCATCGGCTATATAAATTCAAAATTATTTAATAATTTAAATTTCTCACTTTATATCTTAAAATTATATGTTAACAAAAATCATGTAAATCTGTAGCTAACATAGTCTGTTTGCATTATTTATTTGGCAGAAAAAATTTAGAATGATGATACATTTCTTTCCTAAATGTGAACAAATGTCTTAAATAAAAAAAAGAAAACTCAAACTGCTTGTTAAGAAGCAAAAATAAGGCTATATTAAGAATGTTTTCTATGTTTAGCCAGCTTCATCTAACTATACCTAACTAAAGTGAAGAGCAGTAAGGCTATTCTTCATTGAAATAGCTGACTGAACAGTAGGCAGAAAACATTCTTGATAAATTCTTATTTTTGGGTTTCTTAACAAAGTAATTTGATTTTTTTTTATTTAGATTTGATGCCAAGTTTTTTTCATTTTTAAACAATTGTATTATGGCTGCTATTTGAGAAATTTAACTGACTTAAGCCTTGACCACATAGATTGTTATGGACTCTATGAATGCTCCATGACTCAAAAAATTGCTACCATATTATATAGTGTGAGAGGCCATGCTGCACCGTGGATACTGTATATATCAGTGATGCTGTGTTTCGATTCATAGCCAGTGATCCATTAAAACAGATTTTTGGTAGACATTGCCAAATATGTATGTGCACAAAACATGCATTCTCATATGTTTGTACACCGGTTCCATTACCACATGGAGTTTGACTTCCATAAATATGCCAGAAGTTTTTATAAAAGAAATTTAGAAATATCAGTGTCTATTAGTTGAAATAATATAGGTTAAAACATGTTATTTCAATTAATACTAAAAAAAATGAATAAAAAAAGAAGATTATGTAGGAATATGAGTCTAAATAAACATCTGGTGGCAAGAAGAGAGGATTAAATCTAAAATTAGAAACTTAACTTTGAAAATCAAATGTTCTTTAGTTAATGATGAGAGATATTATAATTATTAATCAATTTTCAAAGATTTTCAATAATATTACTTTATGGGGAATTACATAATCTATATATATAAAAATTAATGTATATGTGTGTGTCCTTCATGCATTACCACATCGTTTATCCGATTGCCGTGAAACTTTGAGAAGTTGTTTAATATACTCCTGTGAAGGTTTCTGGCATAGTATGATTGCCATGAAGCTTTGGGAAGTTTTTTAATACACTCCCTCGAAGGTTTCTGGCATTTATCCTATGATAGATGGCGCGCGTTTACACGAGCATTCGAGCAGTGTATGTTCGATTGATTTCAAATTGTGAAGACCATTTCCCCCTTCAAAAAATATCTCTATATATGCATTTGTGAACTGTTATTTACGATATTTGTAATAATTTGTGTTTAATCACTTTATTTCAACTTTTTTTTTGCTAATTATGTATTCACTCGAACTTCGTTAAAACCTTAACTGTACCCCGAACAACAACTGAAGTTGTAGGAAGAAGTTGTAGGAAGGATCGGTAAAATACGCGAATACAACTGAAGTTGTATTCGCGTATTTTACCGATCTAGGTATCCTCCCTTTTCCAAATTTTAATATCGACTCAAAATAATTTAAAAAGACAAATTACAATAAAACGGTTTATTATCCAACTATCAGAAATTTCACAACATGCCAAGGAAGAGAGGAAGGAGCAATTAAATAATTAAAATTATAAAG